CCCCCCCCCCCCCCCCCCCCCACGTTATTCTGTCTACCTGATCAAGAGTCTCTTCCAAAGTAGTGCTCTTTGGTGACCATCACACAGGACCTACGAATTTACGTGTCAATTCTTGGGGGCCCAAACACCTTTTTCCCCTTGAGATTTCTTTTTAATAAATCCTGTCTTTGTCCTGCACAATTACTAATCATCCTGCAGAATTAGCATAGATTCTTATGACCAGGCAGAGTAGATGTGCTGTTAGTTTTGTCAACTATGACTATTTCATTTTGTTTCTCAGGCAAGGCCTCCCCAGGTGCTTCAGCAATCTGTTTCTAGATGTTCCTGGCATTAGGTGAGAGCATATGCAAACCAGGCTCAGATTTTTTTTCCTCCCTTCTGCTGTGAAACTCCACATGAGGCCATTTGTATTGTTTGAGGGAGGTTTAGGCTTCCAATAGTTAATTCTATTCAACTTTGTGTGTTTGGGTTTTCTTTGGCATATATTGTATATACCCCTTCATTTAATGAAGGCATCCTGACCAAATCTGCTTCTTATACCTAAAGAGTGGTATGTTTCCTGAAAGACAAGTATTTTTTTTTCCTTTTCCTATTTTCTCTGATGGGTGTGGTCACAACAGCTTTTAGGTGAATGCCAGGAAGAGTGTTCTGGTGTTCTAGTACAGGATCCTTTCTTGAGCACCTGTAAATTGACCTAAGTCTGGGAATTGGGTATGGGCCTCTGACTTTAAATAATGGTGGTTTAAGGTCTTTCTTGTCCTGAAGACAAGTTTATTCTTGTTATTGGTTTATTCTAATGCAAGTCTTAAGCGTCTTGTCCATTGATTCTTTATTCCTACAGACATCAGGATCAAATAAGCATAGGCTGTAATCTATAGATCAGACAGTGATTACCACCAAATTAATTAGGAGGAAATAAAAACCATAATTCGCACCCAGATGTCCCTAAATCTTAACTCTTTCTCTAGCCTTACAGTGGCCTGTTTCAATTTTTGGACTTGGGTTTTAAGGCTTAGAAAGGGCTTTTGTTCTGTTTATCTTCGAGATCATGTTTATATTTGGATAAGATTTTATATTTTTGTCCTATGTTTTTCTTTCATGTTCTTATTTTTTCCTCTGAGTTTTCGGGTATTCTCTCAAAATTTCATTTATCTTTATTTTGATTTTTTTTAATGTTTTCGTTTATTTCTGAGAGAGAGACAGCATGAGCAGGGGAGGGTCAGAGAGAGAGAGAGAGAGAGAGAGAGAGAGAGAGAATCTGAAACAGCCTCCAGGCTCTGCACTGGCTGTACGCACAAAGCCTGACGCAGGGCCAGGAGATCATGACCTGAGCCAGAGTCAGACACTTAACCGACTGAGCCACCCAGGCACCCCTCATTTATCTTTATTTTGTGTTGACTTTCCTCATTGCAGTTTTAAATTTCTTACGTGTATTTCTTCGTAACCGCAGTTGTTGCATCTTAATGACCACTTAGTCCTATAAAAAAAAGTGTAGTGCTCTCTTTTGACCTCTTGCAAACAGAAATCAGACTTTTGAAAAGGAAATTTTTTCTGTTTCCTTCAACATATTTATTCCTTAAGGGAGCATTTCCTTGGTTTCTTTTAAGTGGTTTTCTTGCTCTCTTTTTAAGTCCAGTGTTTTTCTCATGGAAAGAAACTGATAGTTGCGAAGTGTTAACTCCAAGTCAAGTAGAAGTTGAGCTTAGCTGTGTGACCTATCACAATCAATGTCGGTTCTTGCCTGAATTTGGGGAATATTTTATACATAAATATTTGTTTTACTATTTTTAGAATCCTGTCAATCTAGAGAAAGTTAGCTGAAGCCATAGTTACAGCTTTGCCTCTGTGCTAAAGATTTCTTTTCCTTCCATATTTTTTGTGGCCAGGCATGTCAGGGACAGGGTCTGAATTTACCTAACCTGCCTTAGGGTCTTTACAGGCCTGGCTTTCCTTAATGGTGTCTGTGACTTAGCCTATTGCTCTCCATCAAAGATGTATTCGGGAGTTGTATAATGATGCTGATAGGGTCCAAAAGTTACTAATTGACAGAATGGGGAGTGCAAACATTCTGTCTCTTGTGGGTTCACTATCTGCCCTTACTCCTAGCATTCACCCTTTTGAGTTCTGTGTTGTGAGAAGTCTGCAATGAGGGAAAGTAGTTTTCTAACAGGAGTAGAAGGAGGTCTCCAGTGGACTTTATTTGACTTCCTTCTATTACCCCACATCTGTCCAATATCTAGTAGAAACTTGTAAGTTTCTAGAAAATGAAGATTGAACTCCTCTTTTTTCCAGTCATCATATATACTTCCTGTTTTTCATGTTTTCTTCATTAATTCAATAGAAGTATTTTTAAAAATGGAAGGCAGTGAAGTTATATTTTGTTTATCTCTCCCATCTTGTCCAGTGAATTTTTTTTAACCAACATGTTCAGTGTGATATACAGGCATATAATGAATTTTAAGGTTTATGTTTACATACCAAATTTACAGAAGGCTAGTTTCAGATATCTATATGGCAAATTTAATTGTGACAGTTGCGTATTCAGAAGCTAATTAGTACTTATTATTTGCTTTTTAGAAAATGGATTCCACATCTCTGTTACCAATGTTTTCAGACACGGATCTGACAATATCACATATAGAATGTTTTCCCAAGGACATTCTAGTGAGATTTCAAGGCAGAAATAATATTGAATGTGAGTTTGACTACCACATATTACAGAGGGAAATGCAGCATATTCCAAAAGTAAAAAATAGTGTGGACATTGATGAATTTTGTTTGGTGAAAGAAAGAGTATCTGGAGAATGGCAAAGAGGAAGAGTCGTGGAAAAGAAAAATGAACTATATACAGTGCTCCTGATAGATCATGGAAAAGAACTAAGAGTTGATAGTACACAGGTTGCTTCAGCCTGTGGCAACTTATTTGAGCTACCGCCACGGGTAATATTTGGTATTTTTGCCAACATACTACCAAATGGGGAAAGATGGCCTCCTAAAGCTTTGAATTATTTCAAGTCATTAGTTGGACTACGAGTGAAAGGTTGTGTACAAGCTGTGTTGCCTCTTCAAAGGACTCTTCTAGAAGTGCCAAAAATTATATCCCAGGTTCTTGAGTTACAGTTAGGCAGACTTATTGACGGGGATTCATTTCGTCTTATTGTGGAAATGTTAAAAGAATTCCCACAAGAAATGCCAGATTTATTACAACATAAAAGATCTGAATTATTGTTAAGTAAGAATGCTACTTCACTTGATATTCAACACATTCTGGATAATTTGCAGCCATCTTTGTCAGTAGGCAGGGTTGAAAGTATAAAGGTATCCTCTGCATTGAGCCCATGTAAATTTTATTGTCAACTAATTAAATGGATTCCAGAGTTAGAAAACTTAACGGTGTGTATGACTTTGCATTATGATGCTATCAGTCAAGAAAGTAGTCCTACATGTGATAACTTTGGATTACTTTGTGTTGCCAAAAGAAGAAATGGACAGTGGTACAGAGGAATTCTTCAGCAGCTCTTGCCCAATAATCAGGTGAAAATTTGGTTCATGGATTATGGCAGTAGTGAGGCTATACCTTCAATTCACGTAAAGAAACTTAAACAGGATTTTATTTTAGTACCATTATTTTCATTTCCGTGTTCTCTGACATATTTACATAGTCCAGATAGAGATGCCAGAAAATCTCAACTGACTATATTTAAACAAGCCTTGCTAGGACAGATAGTATATGCACACATCGATTGGTTCAATAAAGATGAACATTTGTATTATGTAACACTACAAACTCAGGAGTCTACAATTAGTTCTAAGTGTCTGTTGAAGACCGTAGGCACACAAGTACTCTGTCCAGTATCTGAATCAAAAATCTCTAGTATGTTTAAAGAGACTGGTGTTTCTGATGTAAACAGCTTTGCAGTTGAGCATTTTATTGGAAATCCTGAACTGTCAATAGATTATATAAACAAAAACTCTTTGAAAGTAAGTGTTCCTACTAAAACTGTAGAGATGGACATAGAGGCTGCCTATATAGCTTTTGTAGTATATGTATTAAACCCATCAAATTTCTGGGTACGTACTAATGAACATCAGAATGAACTTCAGGATATAATGAAAAATATAAATAAATTTTATGATTTTTGTGAAAACAATGAACTGATTCTAAGAAATCCAGAACCTGGATTATTTTGTTGTGCTAGATACAGCAAGGATAGACATTTTTACAGAGCTGTCATCACTGAAATTAATGGCTATAAGATTAACGTTTATTTTTTAGATTATGGAAATACTGATTCCATACCATTTTTTGATGTAAAAGTTTTGCTTCCAGAGTTTTGTGAGTTGCCTGCCTTAGCCATGTGCTGTTCACTTGCACATATATTTCCTATTGAAGATATATGGGTGAAGGCAGCAATTGACTATTTTAAAAAAATTGTTTTGAACAAAGCAATTTTGCTGCAAGTTCTAGCAAAAAAAGATCACAAGTACATTGTAAATATTCAGAGTATTGAAGCCTCAGAAAATATTGATGTTGTCTCTCTTATGTTACAAGCTGGATTTGCAGAATATTGGGAAGTAGAACCAGAGTGTTATCCCAAATCTGCAAGTGGAAATTCAGTGTTAAATTTAAAATCTAAAAACAAAATTAATATTAAAGTCTTATCTGCCCTTCTTAGAGGCCCTATACCTAAAAAGTACCATTCAAATAAACTAAAAGAAAGTAACTTGTGTTTGGTGAAAACCCCAGCTGTTAATGTCTCAGATTTAAAAAATCCTTTCACCTCATCTGTGGCACCTGAGTCACCACGACCTTATAAAGAATATATATTTAAACCAGGAACAGTCCTTGAAGTAAAGTGTTCTTCTTATTATGGCCCAGGTGACTTCTCATGCCAGCTTCAATGTAAGTTAGGAGACCTAAAATTACTAATGGAACAAATTCAGAATTATTATAGCATTCATTCAGATCCTTATCAGATTGGGCAGATTGCTTGTGTTGCTAAGTATTCCAAAGATGGGAAGTGGTATAGAGCTGCTGTTTTGACTCAAGTATCACAAAAAGAACTTGACATAGTATTTGTTGATTATGGTTACCAGGAAAGAGTTTTAGTTAAAGATACTTGTGCTATTAACCCACATTTTCTTTTGTTAGAAGGCCAAGCCTTCAGATGTAGTCTTAATCATTTAGTTGAACCCATTAGTTGTAAATCATTCAGTTGGACAAGAGAAGCATGCAGAGACTTTGGGAATTTTATTTCTTCATCTAAAGGATTATTGACTTGTGTCATTTATGCCTTAGTTCTTACATATCCAAACTCTTTATGTAACTTAGTGGATTTACAATCTCCACTTACTAGTGCAAAAGAATTTCTTATGAATCATGGCTCTGCACAGTATACTACATTATCAAAGCCATTTCCATCTTCAGTTAGTCTATACAGTTACTATTATTCTTCCTTTAACATAAAAATTGGAAGTGAGGAAGAAATATACATGTCTCACATATATAGTCCTAAAAAGTTTTATTGCCACCTTAGTAGAAATAATAAAGACCTGGAGGTGATAGAAACAAAAATCACAGAGATTATTAACCTCAGATATTGTCCAAAATATGACTCTAGTAGAATGAGATTGTGCATATCTAAGTATGCAGAGGATGGTCTCTTTTATCGAGCTTTAGCAGTGCCAACAGACTCATTAACTGACTTTCTGGTCTATTTTGTGGACTTTGGAAATAAGCAATTAGTAGAAGAAAGTACATTGAGAGCTATTTCAGATCAGTTTCCAGAGTTGCTGTTTACACCTATGCAAGCCATTAAGTGTTTTTTGTCGAATCTTAGAGATGTAGATATTCCAGCAGAAATCAGTAGCTGGTTTAAAGATAATTTTTTGGGAAAACCGTTAAGAGCAATAATATTGTCCAGGGAGCCAGATGGCCAGCTTGGTGTAGAATTATATGATGGATATCAACATATAAATCAGAAAATTAAAATGTTGCTTCATGCTTACAGAAAAAAACATTGTGATCTAGCACCGTGTGTGGAAAAGAGTCATAAAATAAATAAGAGACTTACTACTTCTTTGAAAGGCAAAATAGAAAACCATTATCCTCATAATATAAATAAAATTAATCTAGTAACATGTTCTCAAAGCAAAACAGATCAGTTAATGAATCCCAGAAGTACACATGCCAAGCTTTTGAAACAGTCAGCTTGTTATAAAATTGAATCTGTATCAAAAAGCAAAGTGAAGTCTTTGAGTGATGGATTCAAAAATAAAGGTGTAAAAATTGTCCCTGGATCTGCACATACTCTTGATGAAAATGATGTGGGCCAAAAATCAGTAAGGATTGTATCACCATCTTTCATCCAAGAATTAAATAAAGCAGCCTCTCAAAACCCATATAGTCTTACTAGACCACAGATCAAAGATCTTCCTCAACCTAAAATTTCCTTGAATGCCAAAGTTAAAGGATATATTTCTAATATCAGTAATCCAGCAAGTTTCCATATTCAGCTTGTGGAAAATGAAAATGTAATCATCAGACTCACAGATGCTCTAAATGAAAGAAGAACAAAAATAGTGAAAGAGAGAAAATTTGTTAAGCCTGTGGTGGGAGACCTTGTAGTTGCAGAATACTCTGGTGACCATGCCATTTACAGAGCAGTCATTAAGAAAAGTTTGCCAGGAAATTCTTTCGAAGTGGAATTTATTGACTATGGTAACACTGCGGTGATAAGCACATCAAAAATTTATGAATTTCAGAGGGAATTCTTAACAATTCCTCGCCTAGGAATCCATTCTTTTCTTAGTGGAGTCAAGTGGAATGAGCCTGATGAAATATGGGACAGTGAAACTGTGGATTATTTTGCATCAAGAGTAAGTAACAAAACAGTTGCATGTGAATTTTTGAAAAAGCATGAGCAGAAATGGGAAGTAAATATTACTTGCAATGGAACATGTGTTATTAATGAACTACTGAAGTGGACAGCATGTTCAAAACTACAGAAAACAGTAGTGCAGATGCCGGCGGTTGTCTCTCAAAAGGCGAGTTCTGGTGAGGATAACGAAATGAAGAAACGAAGATCAAATGAATACCAAGGGTCTATAATCCTTCAACCAGCCTACCAACAGCTGGGTGACATTCCTTTTGAAGAGTTAAAACCTGGACAATTGGAAAAGGCTGAAATACTTTATGTCTCAAAAAATGAGACATTTTATGTGAACTTAACAAAAAATAAAAAAACCTTATCAGATTTATCAGTATTAATTACTAAGGAAGTAAAAAACCCTTCTTTATCAATGGAAAATATTGAAAAAGGCTTAGAGTGCTTGGCAAAATCTAAAAAAACCTTGAAATGGTATCGATCAAAAGTAGAAAAGAAGTGTGTTGATGAGAAAGTGCTTGTTTTTTTAGTAGATTGTGGTAGGTATGAAATAGTCCCTTTAGATAATACCAAGGTGCTTAGTAATGAAATGAGAAATATTCCAAGACAAGCTGTGCCTTGTAAATGGATTTGGTTTGAAAATTTTAGAAAACGGTCATTTGAGTCTATTGTGTGTTTATTTGCTCATCTAGAAATAAATATTCTTTTCTTGAAATGTTTAGACTCTGTGTGGGAAGTAGACATTTTGGTAGATGGCCTGTTACTTTTGGAATACTTAAATCTGAATACAGTTCATGTTGAAAACAAACTTAGGTCTTCAGAAACCATTTTTAATATGGGATCTAAGACTCCTGTATCATGTGCAGTAAGATCCTATACTTGGGCCCCACTCCAAAATGGAAAGCAATATTCTGGTATTGTCACTGCTATTTCTGATCCATCAGATTTCTGTGTTCAGTTAGAAGATTTCTTTGACACAATGAAATCTCTCTTTGTGTTGCTTTCTGATCTACCAGAAAACTTACAAACAATGCCTCAAGAGTGCATAATTCCTGGTGCTAGTTGTTTGTTCAAATATGAATTGGAAGATCAGTGGAACAGAGTAGAAATTTCTGAGGTGTCTAATCAGTCTTTACTACTTGTATTGATCGACTATGGATTTTCTGTTTACATACCTTATTCGGATACAAAAAATCTGAAAGTTGTTCCTGTGGAACTTTTGAATTTACCAAGGTTAAGTTATCCTTGTATCTTAGATGGTATCTTACCTGCTAAGGGGAAACATTGGAATGAAGAAGCCAAAAGTTTTTTTCAAGATTTGCTGAGTAAACCAGGCTTAGTTTTTCAGTTGAAGAAGTCTGATTTTCAAACAAAACTGGAAGTAGATGTCATTCATGAGAAAAACAATTTGGCAGATATGTTGGTTGTATCTGGTCTTGCAATATATTCTAAAGATTCAGATCATCTTAATGATGGAGTTAGTACTACTGGATCTACTGAAATCCAGTATCAATTACAGAGTAAGCCTATTTTCCCATTATTAGATCAAAATTGTTACAAAGGAGAAAATGCAAGTTGCATACACACTGAGAAACAAAAACTAAAAGAGAAAACTGTAAAGAAGAAAGAGGTCTATAAGACCCTCTTAAGGAAAAGCAATATCAATACAAGATTATATTCTAGAAATTTAACTCTGAGTAAGAAGGCTGACATTGGAAAACTTAATCCCCAAAGTACTGTCACATTTGATACATGTACAGCAGTTTCATTTTGGGAACTACTGAATGACTTGAAGAATAACTCCAATTTCATTGAAAGCATTTTTGAAAAACTACCAGCTGAAGAAACACAGGAAAATAACACAATGGATTTGAGAACAAGGATAAAAACACTGCATGTTAATGAAAAAATTATGTCCGAGGAACACTTAAAAGGTAGGTACCTATTTTTTTTAAAAAGTAGCTTATTTTTTTGTATATTGTTTTAGATTCCTTAAAAGTTTATTATATGCTAAGATTATCCAAATTGAAAAAATCATAGTGCAAGAAACTCACTAGACAGTCTGAATAAATGGTAAACTGGGAGTGATTATTTATAAAATGATACTTGATGATATTTTCCTTTTTTGAATGGTAACCTTTGAGAATGTAATGAAAGTGGAGAGAATTTTTAACCATATATGCATGTACATATATGTGACATTTTACAGATAGTTTCAAGGGTTTCACAAAACTAAAGGGCCATAGATCTCTGGTTAATCTTGCTATTAGTGAGTTCCTGGGCTCATTTTGAAGAACCAATTTTCTGTTATGTGTTTATTGGATGAAATATATCTTTCTTTAGATTTTTTGAGTGTGCTTTTAGCATATTGCTAATACAGTTAAATTTATAGTATAAACTGACTTGAACATATTTCCTCTTAAATTTTTAGATGTCCAACTGATTCTATAATAAATTTTAATATTTTATGTTATTTGATTTTGCTTATGCACATTATATTTCAGTTTCTGTATGCATTAGTTACTGAGGATTTCATAGGCTATAAATGTTTCCTGCTTTAATAAATGTTCTGACTATAAATCTATTATTCCATGTTGTCATTAGTATTATTGCTGGTTACATTCTTTCAGTGATTGGAGGGATCTATATTCTTTCAGTGAGGGCGGGGGAATCTTATTTTTATTGATCTATTTTAGAAGGAGTATTTCATTTGAATTTATATTGAGGTGTTGTATAATGAATTGATAAATGCTTTAAAATTGGTCCTCTTATTTTTGAGTATTTTGATATTGAATTAGCAGTTATGCTAGAGTGCTTTACTATGTTCTAGGTACTGTGTTAAGATTTTTATATGTATTATGTCTTTTAAAGTTTACCAAACTCTGTGAAGTAGGTGGATGTTAAGGTTTAAATGGAGTCCAATAACTAATACCCATTTCTTTGCCTGAATATTAAACCACTTTAGAGAGGAACAAGGAGAAAAAACATTGGTAAGCAAAATATCACATTAATTAAAAACAACAACAACACGGGGCACCTGGGTAGCTCAGTTGGTTGAGCTTCTGACTTTGGCTCAGGTCATGATCTTGTGATTCGTGAGTTTGAGTGCTGCATTGGGCTCTGTCCTGACAGCTCAGAGCCTAGAGCCTACTTTGGATTCTGAGTCTCCCCCTCTCCTCCCCTGCTGGTATTCGGTCTCTCAAAAAATAAAATTAAAAAAACAAACAAAAACAACACCCAAAACCAATACTGATGAACGTGGGAAAGGGGTTTACCAAAAGTCAATAATTCAGACTTTCTGCACAGGTACAGAGGAGAATTTCTCCGTTTTGGGGGCCTACCCATATAAAGCTTAGATTGAGTCATGTTTCTCCAAAAAAGGGACGGAGGAGGAGGAAGAGGCTAAACTGACCTATACCGTTGTCCTTCTAAATGGACCAGATTGACCCTCCTCCGAGTGTTTAAGTAAGGGAGTAAACAAACCAGAGTATTAGGCTAGGAGAGTACCTCAATCATACATAGAAGGGAATCCCAGGAATGGGAAGAAGCACCCCTCCCCCCATTATTATACTATTTTATGGATGAGGCTCAGGGAAATTAAATTGTCAGTGGATCTAAAGAGAAAAATCTCCATTCCTTGCTTGCTAGCAATTCTGATGACCCAAAGTCTTTTATTAATTACTTATACTGCCTTTTGAAAAGGAGTTAGATATTTGAGTAAGAGTTTTCTGTAAGCTTTTGACCATCAGCCCATACGTTTTGGCACTTTTATAACCCACTCTTGGCCCCCATCTCCATCCCACCTCCTGCATTCCTAGTACAGAGTGAACTAATAAGTGAATTAAGTAAAAGTAGCTATTATAAAAACAGTTAAAGAAGCAAATATTAAATTAAAAAGTAAAAAAGCTTCATTTAGGGGAAAAATCATAATTTTGAGTGAGACAAATACAAGAACCATAGTTTCAAGGTTGTTCAACAGCAGTAGTATAGTAGACACTGCTGTTTGTTATTACTGCCTGCACGTGCTCTGGTTCTGGGCAAAATGGTTTTAGTTCTTTTTGGTTGAAGTTACCGATATTTGAAACTCTTGCCTGTTAAGGAAGCTTTTCATGACATTAAGAAAGAAAACTTTAAAAAATTCTGATACTTGGGTTTCCTGTTTAGAGATTGTTTTAATCGGTCAGGCTACCACCTCACTGTTAGGACTTTAAAGCTCCCTGGGTGATTGTAATGTACAGGGAAGGATGAGAACCACTGTTTTAGAGACCATTATGGATAACTTTCTGAATTATTTTGTGAGAGAAAATAATTCTGGACTTTGTGAAAACTCTTAAAATCTATTCCTCCTGTAGTTGGAGGCCAGACTATAATGAGCTACAGCAATTCTTTGTTAAACTTAACATGAAGTAAATATAGTAAAAATGGTGTGGTGTTAAAAATGGCCTTGAAGTATAATATAGTTATTTTACCTTGACCAGGTATTGTTTTAATTATAGAAGTTGCTGCCTCTTCTGTTTAGAAAATAGGCTTAACTTTCCCCTAGTTTCACCCTGCTGTAACGTATCAGTATTAAAATACTCTAGTTGTTTTTATTGGCAGATTGTTTTCTTAAGTTACTGGTCTTTTCCCAGGATGTTTTTGCAGGTTTTTGTTGTTGCTTGCTTTGTTTTTCCCTGGAAGTCATTGAATAGATAATTATGGGAACTAAAGAATGTAACAACCCTTTAAAAAGCTCATGAACTATCTAGTCACTCTTTGGTAATGAGGGAGTGCTTGATGTTGATATACCTTCCTACAATTCCTTATTTAACTGGAGAACACCTTTGAAAGAAATCTGGAATGGCAACCCAACTTTAGAGTAGAATTTTGTCTGACGTATTTTATTACATTTGAAATAACACACCTAGACATCCAGGGGGAATGGCTGACAAGCATGTAAAATGTTAGACCGGATTTTGAAAATATGGGACTTGTAAGTAATACATACTTAATAAGTCACTTGCATTGGATGTAGTAGGGTATTTAAAAGGTCAGTGAGGCCTCTTGCTCCTTGAGTTTGAATTCCTGCTTCATCCCTTTTTAACTGAAACTGTAGGTAAGCTTTTTAATATGGCTGTGCCTCAGTTTTTTTCATCTGGAATACGGAGATTAATAACTAAGCCGTTGACTACTTGTGAGCATTAAATAAGTTAAAACGTGTAAAAAACCTTTTCACTGGTATCTGGTACAGAGTGAGTGCTCACAAATTTTAGAAATATCAGCCATCCCAGTAAAGCTAATGTATTTGGTTTGAAAATCTTTTGTAAAATTGGAACTTCAAAAATTTCTGGTGCTGCTCTGCAAGAAATTGAAATATTTAGGACAGTGTATATATATGCACACACATATTTACAGTACAATGATTAGATTAATGGTTAAATTTCTATTTGGAAGATAGGATTTATGATTGAGATAATTATAGTTCTAAATAAATAGTAAAACAGACTATATGTATTTTCTCCAAAATGGGTATATATTAGTAATTGTTTAAGAAAAGATATTTTCAGTGGTTATACGTACTATTATATGTACATGTTATAGTATATGTGTGATCTGCTTATGCCATATTTCATTCCTCCTCTATCTTTTTCAATTGTGACTTTTAGGAATTGTAAAGTAAAAAAGAAATTCTGCTCATAGAAGGTATTTTCAAAATCAAATCTTGCCTATGAATGAAACCCATAATGCTTGGAAAATTGTATTACAGCATACTAATTATTATTATTTTTTGCTGTGTTTCAGTGAAGGGAGATGAAACCTCAGATCTTCTATATATCAGTTTAGTAACAAATAATATATAGGATACCCAATAATTACTGTTGTGTTGTAGATGCTCCAAATATATAATAAAAGTGGTAAGCATATGATGATTTCTAATATTAAAGCTGTCTTCAAGGCATCTAGGTTGTTCAGATTATTTCCCTAGGAGACCATGATTAGACTGTTACAGAAACTCTGTGTGACCAGAAATTGTGATGCTTTGTTTGTAGAAAGATTATTTAGGAAATGTAGCTCACTCCCAAAGTATTGTTAACATTTTATTTGATAAACCACTCTTTGCTTGTGTTTCCACAGTCATTAGATAATATTTTACCATTATTTATATTTTTCGGGTGTCTTTCCTCACTGAAGCCTTTGTTTCAGTTGCTATTTTGTTAGGGTCATCACTGCAGTCATGGAAAGTACATAGAGAGTTAGTGCGACAGAACTGTATTTCCAGAAAAATACGGGTGCTTGTAGGACTGGCACTTAATAATAGGATATGGATGAGAAGTCCGAGTTAATCCCATTCTTCCCTGTCTTTAAATCCTACAATGGGATTTTTCTTTCATTTTATTTTGCAGTCATACCTATTTTTAATTTGATTTTATAGTTTTGGTTGTTAATTGTTTAGTTGGGTAGATATTTTGTCAGTGTATTTAACTGTGAATTAGTTTATTTTGTATGTAAACATTTATTGAGCAAATTTAGAGTATTGTTTTGGTGCCAAGATAGAACCATAAAATCATGCAAATATACTTAAGAGTTGATGTTCACCAAATAGTTTTGAAGAACTAGAGATTTGGTGATTTAGAGAATGTTGGGAGAAATTTAGAAATTTCCGGAGTTAGGTAGGGACAATCAAGTATATCGTTGCACGTGTATATTGAATGTATTGATATTAGTCATTTTTTTGAGGATAGGAAGTTATTTCAAGAAATGCTGTTGTTTCGGAATATATAGGAGTTTAAGTTTGGGATCTTGAAAGTTTATTCAGTACAGGGAGGCTTCATATTTTTACACTACAAATTAATCTGTGGCTTGTGATTATTTTAGAGAATTAACATTTACTTTTTGTAATCAAATTTCTTTGAATGCTTTTGTGTCATTTTCCCCCAAACCTCACCAGATCTCACAAATTATTTTGTACAATTTAGAAAAATACTTCTATTAGAAAACAAATTTGCTTTATACAGCTTCTATGACTATTGTAATACTGGGTTGCTTTTGTTGTTTTGGTACCATGAAATATGGCAAAGTTAATGATTTGGTTAATTAAAAAAAGAAATGAATAAGATAAAGTAGTATTAATGGATGTTTTTGGTACCAGTTTTATCATGAAGGGCCTCATACCCCTTCACTTTTTTGGAGTTCTTTTAACTTCATTTATTTGTCTTGAGGTGCAGTATTTTATGTTTGGAAATAGACAAACTTCACAAATTTACTTCTAGCATTTATGTTATTAAATACTGTAGAAAATGTTTTTACAAGTCTATGTTTCAGTTAATTCCTAATTGACTTTTTTATTAGACAGAAGCCCAATATAGAAAGTAACTAGAGAAAGGCTTAAAATTAAGTTTCCTTTTCAGATAAAAAGTGCTTAATTTAAAACCATTATTTTCCTCTTTTTTTATGAAGCTACATTTTTTTCTACATTAGTTTACTATACTGTAAAATTACAATGTGGAGGAAGTATAGTTACATAGTTATTCAGAGTACTCTCAAGTAAAAACAAATAGCATATTCATCTTAGAATTTTATTTTCCTAGGATTAAGTTTTATTAGATTTTACAGATAAGTTAATATTAAAATGTTTTTTTTTTCCTTTTCTAAAACACTTGTGTGAATTTAAGTTAGTAGAAGCTGTTTTTTTATGTGTTGGCACAGACTGTTGATTCAAAATTTGAGAAGCAGTAGCACGTTAAAATTTTTAGATTAAAATATTTCAAAGTTGAGGATTGTTAAATTTTACTTTTTAAATTTATTTCTGTTTAAAAATTTTCTCAGAAACATACTTGATAATTTTTTTTTTTTAACTTTATTTTGAGAGAGAGTGCTTGTGCATGCCCAATCAGGGAAGGGACAGAGAAAGGGAAAGAGAGAAAGAATCCCAAGCAGGCTCCATGTTGTCAGCACAGAGCCCAGTGTGGGGCTCAATCTTGTGAACCATGAAATCATGACCTGAGCTGAGATCAAGAGTCGAATGCTTAACCAATTGCATCCCTAAATTCATTTGTAATTTTGCTATACTCCTATAAATTAAAATGTTATTTTTTGAGCTCATGTCAAAGTTTTCTAAGAATGGAAAAAAGTATTCTTGAGAAATGATAATTGATTTGGTTTTTAAAAAATATTAACATAGGCATTACTCAAGGCTGTGTGTATTGATATGAAATAAAAACACTCATAAGTAAAAACTTAAAGACCAATTATTTATCCATTTGTATTTTCCTGGTATGATTACTTTGATTCAAAACTCTTCTATAGAAGATGCTGAGTTGGTTAAAATCAGCATCTGATTTTTTTAAACTTTTTTGTTGTATTAATATAACTTTTTCTTTTCTTTTTTTAAAAGTTTATTTTGAGAGAGAGTAAGAGCAAGAGCAGGGGAGGCAGAGAGAGAGAGCAAGAGCGAGCAAGCAAGCAGAGAGTGCAGAGCCCCATGAGGGGCTCGAACTCAGAAACTGTGAGATCATGACTTGAGATGAAAACAAGAGTTGGTTGCTTACCTGACTGAGCCACCCAGGTCCCCCTTTTATTTTTTTTAAATTTATTTCTTTTGAGAGGGAGTAGGAGAGGGACAGAGAGAGGGGGGACAGAGAGAATCCCAAGCAGGCTCCACACTGTCAGCGTGAAGCCCAGTGTCGAGCTCGAACTCCTCATGAACTGTGATGACATGACATGAGCTGAAATCAAGAGTTGGACACTTAATGAATGAGCCACCCAGGCACCCCTATAACTTTTTCTGACTTTTAAATATGTATTTAACTCTACTATTACTTAAAAACTTCTTTTGTTTTGGTTGTGTACATTCAAGGGAAATTATTTTTGTGTATGGAGTATTTTGAGTTAAAAAAGTTTTCATGGCAAAATATTCTAAGTATAGTTTGCTAAAGTCTGAATAAGTATGCTTTTAAAGGGCAATACAGCATTAATGGAATCATACCTTGTGCATATAGTGATGGAAAATTGAATTCACTTTAACACTTCCTTTAACCAAAGTTTAGTCCTTACTCAAACAGTTGGTACAATATTTTTCTCTTTAAAAGTACTTCTAATTCTCAAAACAGTTTTTAATTTCTTTTTTTTTTTTTTACTTTTGAAGGAATATTGGAGTTTTTAAAATTACAAATATTTTTATTTGGCCTATAGTTTGGATATAATTCTCAACGTTTTCAAGAGTCTCCAGCATTATATTTATTTTGTACATTTGACTTCTAGAACTTTTCTTAGGTTATATTATGATAGCCATACTAAGAGTATTTAAGATTCTAATATATGTTCCTCTTTGGCTGTGATACATTAACATCTTAATGTAAACTCTGTAATGGTTTTCATATATTTTCTTAGTTTTCTTATAAGTTTTCATTAATCACAAAGTGATCAGTTATTGACTTATGTTATCATAATGCTATTTCATAACATATTTCTGTCCCTGTGTCCTTGAAGATCCTGATAATCTCTGAAAATCTCTGTAGTACTAAATCCTCATCCTGTATAATCTTGTTACTGTCTTTTGTATGGTACATTCATTCATCAAAATATTTTGGAAATCACTGTGTTAGGTATAGGAGATACAAAAATGAATCAAATTCTGGTTCTTAAAATCCATTACAGTGGTGGAAACCCATTAATAGCCATACCACAAGGAGTGGTACATGGTATGTAATAAAGTTATATAATAGGGGCTTTAGGACCACAGAGGACAGTGTGCTTTACTTACTTCCTGGGATTGAGGAACCATTTGAAGAAGACTTGGAAAATATGACCTGTGATGGGGTGCCTGAGTGGCTCAGTAGGTTAAGTATCCCACTTTGGCTCAGGTCATGATCTTGCAGTCCGTGTGTTGGAGCCCTTTGTCGGTGTTTGTGCTGACAGCTCAGAGCCTGGAGCCTGCTTCAGATTCTGTGTCTCCCTCTCTCCTCCTCACCTGCTTGTGCTCTGTCTATCTCTCAAAAATACACATTAAAAATATTCCAAAAAAAATAAACTGTGAGCCTGATTCTTAAAAGATGTGGTATAATTTGCTAGGGAAGTTAGGCAAACCTACAAGAAATGAAATTAGAGACCACATGGTACAGCCAAGTAAAACTGACTCCGTACAATCACCCTACTTTTGTTTTGATTGCCAAGACCAGAGGGGAGTTGGGAATATAGGAAGTGACTACTCATGGGTGTGGAGTTTCTCTTTGGGGCTCTGAAAATGTTCTGAAGTTAAATGGTGACAGTGGTTGCCCAATTTTGTGAATATTCACTAAGGTGACTGTTACGACAACTGAATATTTTAGTAAAGCTTAAAAATTACATGTATGAAGCTTATGTATAGCTTATGAATTCAATAAGCTATTCCTTGAAAGTATTTAGAGAACAGAGAAATGTAACGAAATTCTGATATCTAGTTTAGGGATTTCAAAATTAAAGAGAATGAAGTTTCAAACCTCAAGACTCAAAAAAATAAATGAAAAAGGAGATCCCTAGGGTGGGGAAAGTAGCATCCTTAGCCCAGATCATTCTATGCATGTTATTAGTTATAGGTGTATAATGCATTTTTAAACCTTTGTTGTTTTTAAAAAAATTTCATGTTTATTTTTGAAAGAGAGCAAGAGGCAGAGTGCAAGGGGAAGAGGGATAGTGAGGGGGGAGACAGAATCCGAAGCAGGCTCCAAGCTCTGAGCTATCAGCATAGAGCCCCATGTGGGGCTTGAACTCCCAGACTGCAGGATTATGACCTCAGTTGCAGTTGGACATTTAACTGACTGAGCCACTCAGGCACCTCTAAACCTTGTTATTAAAAAAATACATTTTTAATGTTTATTTTTGA